TCCAGGACATACAATTCTAACTACAAGGGGATAAATATGGACAAATACTAAAAAAAAAAAATAAATAATCTTGTAATCTGTGAATAGCTGTTACACAATCTAAATATGTGGTTTCTGACATTTGCTTCTTTCTATCCTAATACCCCACATACAATTTAATAATCAGCAATAGTTACAAAGAAAACCAAAAGAGGTGAAAGACATTTTAGATACAGGTGGTCCTGGTCCCACAATGCGGTTCCTCCCAATGACTCCATCATTTACTGGTTCTGATGGAAGCTGAATACCTCTTTTTTTTTTGTATCACTGATTTTTATTATCAGTATCTTGATAAATCTGATCTTTATATTTGTCTTTCATGTTTGAAAACATTACATCTGAGAATGTTAACAGCAGCAAATTATACACTGAAATGTTTTATGTGATTGAAATGTTTTATGTGATGCATGTTATTAACAATATTAGCTTTTTTTTTTTTTTTTAAAAAAAAGGACCGTCATGAATGTGTAAGTGTGTTTCATTGTAACCTGAAGATACTGTTGTTAAGTTGGGGACTATCTGTACTGGCATCTTGTAAGCCAGTGATGTGTGTGTGTGTGTGGGGGGGGGGGGGGGGGTGGTGAGGACACGTTAATGGAAAGAAAGGCATGTATCATATTCCTTGGGAACAACAGGGAGGTGAGAAACTGGAAAAATCACGGAATCTTCTCAGTTGGTACTCTCATGACTTCATGGAAGGACTGGCCCTTAAGCAGAGTCTCAAGACAGGCTATGAAAGCTCTAAGCTCCACCACTTCCTTCTAAGGCAAGGCCCCAGCAGTTCCTTCACCACAGTGTTCCTGGGCTGTCCACAGCCATGTGGCCTGCCCAACACTGACCCTCCTCTCTGGCAGCTACTGGTGAGTATAAGCTTCAGTGTTTGAGAAACATGGGTTGAGCAGCAGGGACTTCCCCTTTTAGACTGTAACAAATCATTAGATCTTCTCTACTTTGGGTACTAAAAGGTAAGAAGCACAGGGTGTAAGAGCATACACATCTACAAGGCTCCACAGCACCATAGAGCAGCTGTCTAGGTGGGAAAGCCAGGTTTCATACTCTACCAGCAGAGGTAGAAGCTGCTTTGTTAGCCAGCTGCAGTATATATATAGTAAAATGAGGAAAAGTCACAATTTGGTGTCATGTAAGCAGGGATTCTCAATTTGGGGATTAGGGGAAAGACATGGGGATAGTTTAATTTAAAAACAAAACAAAACAAAAAAACAACTCCACAAAAACAGTTTCTATTTAGAAGAAATATGCCCTGAATCTTGAAGAGCACCCAAGACTTCGTCTGCTCTGAGGGCATAAGTTTTACAAAGTTGAGTGAGTGATACAAATTATGTTCTCTTCTACAACTTGAAATTTTATTTCTGATCCTTCGCCATAATTTAAAAAATAGATTAAATTAGACAGCATTCAATTTAATAAGCAAAGGCTAAAAAGCTTGTCCTAAAGTCCTATACATTCAACTGAAACATACTATGTTGTTGTTGTTGCTAACTGCTGTTGAGTCAGTTTTGACTCAAAGCAATCCCAGGTGACCGAATAGAACAGCACCATAGGGTCCCAGTGTTCACATACACTGTAAATCAAGGATCCACAGCCTCTTTCTTGGAAAGAAACAGTAGTTAATGAAATAATTCTAAGTTATGTCACTTCAAAATGTGTAAACTATGAACATTTTAAACTCAGTTCGAGTTTGGAAATCAGTTTTTTTGTATCATCCAAAAATTTTTAAGTTTTAGTACCCTCTCTTTGATTTCCTTTTTATTTTCCTTCACAACTTCTGGTTCTTCTAAGTAGGTGTTGATTTATCTTAACCTATAACTTGTCAAGGCAGCTGTAAATTCATGCCACAAAATTAAATAGCCAAAAAATATCAATGACTACACATCTTTATTAAAATATTTTTACAGATCCAAGTAAGTGCATCAGCAAGGTCAATAAAGTCCACTAATCATGGTCACATGAAGACTGTGGTCACAGATGCAAATGGCTCTACGTCTTAGTGCATTTCTCTACAATCATCTCCTTGGGTTGGTCTGTTATAAAACGACATGCCTGCTCTCCTTCTGTGTTGCAGTTTTGAAAAAAATATGAATGCTAAGTTAAAAAAAAAAAAACAACAGCTGGAGTTAAAATGAAATTCAAAACTTGACCTAGGACATGTTTCAATGGTTTCAAAAAACATTCGTGGGAAAATTCCATTATCTTATATTTCCATGAACTTTTTGAAGCCTCAAAGTATTAAATGATGGTATATATAAGAACAGGGGGAGTAAAAAAAAAATAGGGTTTATTCTCAACTCAGGCACTGACTAAGTTCTAGGTACATTTTTTTAAAAGATGATGTCATTTTAGACCTATTGCCTCCTTACATATTGTCTATGTATTCTAAACTGTGGATTAAAATGTTTCCTCCTTTGTGTATTTCTTAAACCTCTATATTCAGTGCTTAGACACTGCTCAAAATCATCTATTGTTCTCACCAAGGTTCCAGAGGAAAATTCGTACTTCCTATAATGTTGTTGTTAAGTGCTGTCTGCTCAGTTGGTTCCAACTCATAGTGACCCTATACAGGATTTTGAAGGAGTGGCTGGTGGGTGTAAACCACTGACTTTGTGGTTAAAAGTTCAATGCTTATCCTATAGTGCCACACCAGGACTCCATCCACTTCCTATTACATAGTGCATTGAGAATCTCTCAGTCACTCAGATGTATGTACACAAAAGCAATTTATATAGTGATTTTCTTCCCTCCTACCAGTTTTGGTAAGAAGCTCTAGTAGCATAGTGGTTATGAGTCAGGCTGCTAACCTCAAGGTCGGCAGTTCAAAACTACCAGCTCTTCTGCAGGAGAAAGATAAGGCTTTCTGCTCCCGTAAAGATTTACAGCCTTGGGAACCCTATATAGGATCTCTATGAGTCTGAATCAACTCCATGGCACACCACCACCACCACCACCAGTCCTGGTGTGGCCTTGTAGGATAAATATTGGACTGCTAACTGAAGGGCTGGTGGTTCAAACTCACCAGTTGTTCCTCAGAAACCCTATACAGGATTGCTATGAGTTGGAACCAACTAGACGGCACTTAACTACAACCACCAGTGAATGAACTGTTTAAGAGAGACTAACTTATGCAGTAAGTATAGCTTTATTTCTATGGCTTGAGAAACATTAGGCAAATGCTTACTTAGGCTCTATAAGACTTAATCATAAATATCCTTCCTCTAGACTTAAAGAGCCCTGGTAGCGTAGCGGTTACGAATAGGGATGCGAACCTTAAATTCGCAGATATGCTTTTCATTTGAAACTATCAGCTGTTCCGTGGGAGAAAGATGAGGCTTTCTGCTCCCATAAAGATTTATAGCCTCGGAGACTCTGTACAGGGTCACTATTGAGTCGGAACTGGTTCCACGGCACATAACCACCACCACCAGAGGCTACTGCTATGTGTAATAATAACTCTATGAATGTTTCCTTAAGGAATTGGCTCTATGGTCTATCAATTATGGGAAAGTATCTGAAAAACCTGACAGCTTGCTGCAGTTTTGTCCCTTGAACAATGAGAGAGCTGCATAGTGCTGGGGCCAGGAGTCATTGCTGTGTGCTCCCCTGCCTCCAGTCCTGCAATATCCATCTTTGTGGCTAATTAAACTGCCTTCATTCTAGAACAGGGCAAAAAAAAAAAGGAGTTGTGAATATTTCAGAGAACAACAAGTTTCAAATAGCCAATGACAGTAGCATCTATTATCTTGGGCTTATAAAGCAAACACATAAGAACACTATATAAACCCACCCACATCCCTAGATGTCACACCTCCACCAATTCAATACAGTGTTCTCCATGAGTTTTATACACCCACACATACATACACAACTACATGCAAACAGGGAGACACTGTACACCTTTTAGCGGATAGAAAACTCGTCTTTTCCTTCAAACACTGATTTTAGGATTCAAATGGATTTCTTACCTCCCTATGCCCCCTATAATCGCTTCCTTACTACTCTTTGGAAAACTAAAGCCATACTAAAAGAGGCCAAAAATCTAATAAAAGTGAGTGCTTGAAAAAGATCATTTTATGTCTGATTTAATTCTTCAGCCCAGAGATTAAGCAGTAGGTCAGTGTTGTCAGGTTGTTGTCGTCCCCCTGAAAATGCAAACTGTGCTTATTGGTGGGCAGCAGTTTCACTAACCCTTTCAACTTTAGAGACTGCATCCTTCCACCTTGTGAAACAATAGGGAGAGCACAGAAGTGTTGATTCAGATATTCTTTACGCTACCTCTGCCTATGAGATGATCACATGCGACTTTCAACATTCCAGCTTTATGAAAGGAAATGATGAACTTACAGACCATTTAAAATCTAAAGCAGATCTCACGATCCATTCTTCTGAACTTTATATATTAAAAAAATAAACAAAAAACAGAAAACCTGACTTGTCAAAATCTCAGAACTATTCAATTACCAGTGCAGAACAGAGAGACCGACTTACCACAAACCTACCAAACACAAGTACCATCTACTTCCTGCCTCCCCACCCACTACTCCTTACCCCCAAACAACAATCAAGCTCTGAATTCAATGCTTACTCATAAAATGCAAAATGTTCAGATTTGTTTTCCAGTTTCCCTTCATTCTCACCCTGTCTTATCCTTGTAATAAAGCATGCCTGAAAAAACTTATTTCAATTCAACAATCTAATATAAAACATAAGTAACAAAAGAATCAATAGCAAAGGTTTCTTCTTTTAGGCATTATAGAAGGCTTATTTCCACAAAACAACTCTGGCATTTTGTAAAATCAACTTTAAAACATACTCAAAATGCATTAATATACTTGATCTCTCAGTTCTCTCCCCACCCCAAACTGTTGACTTTCTTTAAAGAACACAATTCGGAACACCAATGTGCACACAGTTAAGAGAGAGGAAGCCCAAGCTAATGTCTGTCTTACCTCAAAGAACATATAGAGGGACAGTAATGTAAGTCCAAGGTTATACAGCACTAGAATGCCCCGACAAGAGAATGGTTGTCTATTCTTCATGTATTTAGGTCCCAGCCATACTATTAATAAGTATATGCTTGAGCAGATAAATGTAGGTATATAATTGTCCAGAAGAAACCATCCTTTCACTCTGGTATCTGGGGGGGAAAAAAAATTAGTGATAAATAAGGCAGATGTAAACAGAGTCTCAACTTTTCAAACATTAAAATATTTCTCTATGATTGTAAAATAGTCAACCTAATATTCAGGTTCTCAAACCCAGGCAAGCAAGCAGAGGATAAGGCATGGGTTTCCGGCACTATCATACCAGATGAACTCCTTATGGTAGGTTCTAAATAACAATGCACATTATTCAGGGCTTTTGCTAAGGGAAATGAAAAAAGGAAAAAAAAAAAAAAGTCTTCCAAAGAAATTCAAAGAAAACAAGATGCTAAAATTTCCTGAGACTAGATTTATTAATCAGATTTACTGAATTATGCATGGGGTGATGAAATCCAAGAAGTGCAAGACTCTGAATTCTGAAGTTCTCCTTCATTCTCAGTCAAGTGTCACCCAATGCCCAGCAATGAGCAGACCCGAGAAAAACATGCCACGTAGCCAGATTAGGAGCATTGCCACTGAATATAAAGGTAGCATCTGCTGTACATGTAATGATTCATTTGAAAAAGTGTGAAGGTGAAACAGCAATAATCAGGAAAAACAATCTCTGCAAGAAGCTGCCAGCCCTGTCCCTGATGCTGCCCAATGGGCTCCACCTGACTGGGGACAGCCAGCTACCCTAGGTAACTGTCTGTCCTCTACATGACTCAGCTTCACCTTCTGGCTGCCTCCTATCTCTGCTGAATGTTTTTCCCTTTGCATTCTGCTGGGGTGATCCCCAAAAGCCTGTGCTCCTTAACTTTATCTTTTATCTAAGACCCCCAACTCTGGAGCTCAGAGGTGCATGAAGGATTCAACTCCTGCATCTTCAAGAAGCAGCAGCTAGTTGGAGCAGTGCTTGTGCCTTTTTTGAGTCCCTGGCTATACCATCTTGCTACTCCTCCCAGTATTCTGTCCCTTGCTGTCATAGGACAAGCCCAAGTTAAATAAAGCACATGTCCACTTGGGGAATCAACCATTAGTCTTCCCTTCTTGCAAACATTCTAAGCATTCCTAGTGTTTCTCTCGTGGCTTTCTTCCCATGGCTGCAGAGAGCAATACTCGCTGCCCCATTGCCACTAGATATTCTACTGTGGTGAACTATGTTACTGTCAACTCTGCTGAACACCATGGTGGTTCTTAGAAGTCCTTCAAGGAAGTGGTTGGCTCCGTGAACCTAAGGGGATTCTTAAGGTCTCTGTTCTTAGCTGGCTGCCAATTCTGTGAAAATCAAGTACTCACTCAGCTCCCAATTAGACTGTTACATACATTTGTGTGTACATAAATATCACATGCAAACATTCACAGTAAGTACACATAAAAAACTTTCCATTTCTTTTACTTCAAACTTTGGTTTGCACCCTACTTTTTTCATTTTATAACAATCTTCATCTTTCCATATCTGCAAGTATCCATCCTCCTTATAATCAATTATCTGCCTCCAGGGTTGCTGGTCCCAGCCACAGATGGTGAACCCTATGGATCTAGTTCATCACAGAGATTCTAATTCTAACTCCTCTCTGGTGACTAGTTCAAATGTGGGCATGTGAAATCATTCTGGACACTAAGTTTTAAGGGGATATCAGGTGTTTAGGGACCTTTAGGAAGAGTTTCCTTGTTCTTAAAACCATGCACATGAACAGATTTCTTCCTCCTCCTATGGATGTGTTGGCTGGAGCATCTGCAGCCATCCAGTAACCATGAAAGAGGACAAAGATACTGAGGATGGTAAATGAAACGACATGAACAAGAGTCCTTGTTAAGACTTAAGAGCTCCCGAAATAGCAAGAGTTGCCCTACCTTATAATGTAATTTAATAATTTTATTATTATTTCAACCATTTAAAAGATATATTTTTAACCATTTGTGGATTTTGTGTCCCCTGAAGCTGAAGTTAAGACATCATTCTTATACAAAAAAAAGCACACACACATAGATCTAACACATTATTTTCAATGCTCATACACTAATTCATTTAACTTATTATTCCCCTCTACTGAAGAGCATTTATATTATTTCCAGTCTTGACAAACCGTGCTATCATGAGCATCATTAAACATATCTTTGCATGATCAAGATTAGCTCTAGGATAAAGTCTTAGTAGTAAAATAGTTGAATTAAAGAGTTGTACATTTCAGTGCCAATAGAAGACACACTACCCTCCACAGAGGTTGCACCAATTTAGACGAGTCGTGGTGTGGCGCTGTGGGTAAATGCACCAGACTGCAAGGTTGGTGGTTCAAGCTCACCAGCTGCTCCTTGGAAACCCTATACAAGGTCGCTATGGGTCGGAATCGACTCGACGGCACTTCACAATGACCCAACCTCACTATTAGCAAAGATGGTATCAGATTATTTATCTCTGCCGTACTAAAAGGTGAAGTGCGTCTTCAAAAACACTAGAGAAACTGTGACCATAAGAACTTCCTTCTTTATAGATATTAACATTACAAAGAGGCAATATGGAGGTGATATACTTTTCTAAAACATAGCACTAGATTGAAAGACATTTTAAAAAATGAGTTCAGGGTGTCTATTTACCCCGTGACATGGACACACAGTAAACGGATGTTTAAAAGCCTGTAACACTGTATGAAGGGAAACGTTTTAAACACCTATGGCTGTAGTGAATTTTGAAAACCAGTTTCAGAGACTCACAAGATACACCACACACCTCCACTGACAATGATGAAACCTGCAGTCCTCCCAGGTTGAGAGATTTACAGCATAATGTGATCTCCAGACAAAGTCAGGGAAAGGGTCACTGCAGCTATATGTCTGCCCCAATTGCCAGGGGAAACTGTACAATCTCAAGGACTGTCAGAGGTCCCCACACTGTAGGTATTTAGGATGAGGTTTTATCTTACCATAGAAAACGCTAGTATTTTCTAGAATTCCTTCATGCAATATTTATAAGTGGCTATTAAAAAAAAGGGGGTGGGGGGAGCCAAGCAAAACCAAAAACCACCTTACCTCGGGGGCCCAGTAATGCCCTAAAATAGGTACTTTGTGATGCATCAAAATGCTCCATTTTAAAACCTATTAAGAAAAAAAAAAGACATAAATTAGTCCCTACTCTCACAACAGCTGTTTTTCTTAAATATATAGACAGTATTTTTTTAAATAAAAGAAAAAGAACACACTTTTTTCAAAGAATAAGCTATAGTTCTAAGGTTAAGTTCCTCACAATTAAAACACAAACGTTTAAACTCACAAAAGTAACTTATTTACTGTCAAAATGAAGAAGAAGAAAAAAAAAAGTAACATGCAAAAAACAAAAACACAATCCTGTGAATTCGCATTATAATCAAGTGCCCGTTTTCTCAATATCATTTCTCAATTCCATAAAATCTCTTTTTGTGAAGCTAAAGTCTCAGTAGGAGAAAAGTGAAGCTTGGACTGGAAGGTGGCAGACAGGAGCAGATCCGTCTGGGCAAGAAAGGAGACGAGGTAAGATGTCCTATCAGGGACCAGAACGCTATTATGAAAAGATGGTTTTCTTTGCTTGTTACCTTTATCATTTCTTTAAAATGCTTCGTGTTCACAGTAAAAATTCAAACATTAAAAATGAAAAAGAGAGAAAAGGTAAAACCTCATCACTTTCTTCCAACCACAACCCCTAGGCATCATACAGAGCCTAACGTTAACATTCTGTGGATGTACTTCCCGAGATTTCCCCTCTTTGGACACAAAGGAAGTGATTTTATAAATATGGATTGCAACCCACTAGTGGAGCATCAAATCAATGTGGGATTTAAAAAATAGGCTCATAATCGAGAATCAGAACGCTCTGCCCTTAGTGAGAAGAAATCTTTTTCCATAAAATGCTAACTTACTAGGATCATATTTGCAAGTATGATGTACTTGCTTTGTTGTTAGATGCCATCAAATCGGGACCAATTCATAGCGACCCTATGCACAACTGAACAAAACACTGCCAATGTACTAGGTTATGATAAAAAATATTTTTACTGGTGAGAGGTCAGACTCAAAAAAGTTAGAAAACACTTATATATAAGTATATATTGCTTTTCATTTATTAAAATATTTTGGAGATAGTTTCAAATGCATAGTTACAGATTTACCTCAATCTTCTAAGAGTCTATGTTGTTGTTAAGTGCTGTCGAGTTGGTACTGACTCATAGGGGCCCTGTATAGGTTCTGAGGGGAAGTTGGTAAGTTTGAACTGCCAACCTTCCAGTTCAAACCAACCATACGGTGAAGTGCTTTCCTACAGGGTCATACCAGGTATCTATATAAATATTTCAAAATGTCCATTAGGCTCATGAGGAAAATAATAGCTATAATGTTGAAACTCAAGATTAAAAGTATATGCTTTTTTTAAAGGCATAGTAACATTCATGGAAGCAAGTTAACAAATCAAATGACTTATTATTGCATTAGACAAATCTGTTGCACAAGACATCTTACAAGAGCTCAAGAGCAAAGATGTCAGTTTGAAGACTAAACTGCACCTGACCTAAGCCATGGTATTTTCAACAGGCTCATATGCATGTGACAATGAATACGAAAGGCTGTAGAAGAATTGATGCATTTGAGTTATGGCACTGGAGAAGAATATTGAAAATATCATGAACTTTCAGAAGATCAAACAAAATCTATGTTGGAAGAAGTACAACCAGAATGCTTCTTCAGAAGCCAAAATGGCCAGACTTTGTCTCTCATACTTTTGGACAAGTTATCAGGAAGGACCAGTCCCTGGAGAAGCACATCATGCTGGGTAAAATGGAAGGTCTGCGAAAAAGAGGGGGACCTCAAGAATATGGATTGGCACAGTGGAAGCAACAATGGGCTCAAGTGTAGCAATGATTGTGAGGATGGCGCAGGACTGGGCAGTGTTTCTCTCTGTTGTACATGGGTCTACTATGGGTCGGAACTGATTCGATGGTACCTAATAATAACAGATTTTCTATATTAAAGTTAAGAAGTATAGATGAGGGAGCTTCAAAAATTTATTGAATAATGAACTAGGAAGATAGTGGATTTTTTTCAGAGTTTCTTGAAACAGTGTGCATTTTCAACTTTCAGGGTCATTAACCAGTTGCCAAATCAACACTTACATATTCTCTTGCTAGTTTTCAGGATGAGCTATTTTATCCATGAAATTACTGAATGGCTTTGGTGGTTACAGTTAAGTCAATCCAGGCAGCTGTGAGACAGACAGAAGGAGCCATCACTGACACCTTGAAAGTAAAAATGACAGGGTTCTGTCCTGACATCTTTCCTGCCCCAAGGTGAGTTATGTGTGTATAAGGGGCATCAGAAAGCATACTGACTCCCTCAACCCATAGCTGGAAACTGAAAAGGTGCTGGCTTCCTGGATCTCAGTCTCTGGTCAAGAGCTAACATGGCAACATAGACAGGAGTTCTCATAAACTCAAGGGCCAACAACTAGGTACATCAACTGTATCCCTCAAAGAATTCACACCCTTGGCTCAAGGTCACTTCTTAACATACTATATTCCCAAGACCATTTTGGTCCTGAGTCATTTTTTTCTCCCTCTCTCTTCAGGGGACGCAAATTTCCTGGTGTTGTGGTGTTAAAGAGAACGTGTTTAAGAACGATTTCTTAAACGGAATTCCTCTGAAAATGGATTCTATAGATACATAAATCTTGTTTAATTATAAAGGCTATTAGAAATCCTACAGGAGAGCTGTTGGTTAATGCACCAGACTGCAAAGCTGTTTGAATACAAGGTCGGTAATTTGAGCTTACCAGCAGCTCCTCGGAAACCCTAACAGGGTCGCTATAGATTGGAACCAACGCAACGAGACTTTTAACAACAACATTTAAAAATATCTAGAAAATCCAAGCTTTAGAGAACAACCATTATGTTTCTGTGAAATGTACTTAACACTTTACACAATTTAATGTCACCTAAGATGAATGTGCTGACTCCACAGCATATAACAACAACAACAACAAGATGAATGTGTATAGGGATTTCCACATCTCACATCTCAAACAGACAACCCAAAGCAGAAAAGACGTTATAAAGACTATAACTCCTGTTGAACAAACTGTCTACTGGGGACAGAGTTACCGTCCTCCAAGGCATTGTTGGAGTCCTAGTTGGTGCTGTAGGATAGGCATTGGGCTGTTAACTGTAAGGTCATTTATATAAGGCTGCTATGCATCATAATCGACTCAATAGCACTTGATAACAACAACATGATATTTAAAATCTAAATCCTGCTATAACTTGATGAGTATATAACTTACTAATTGTTGTTGTTGTTAAGTGCCGTCGAGTAGGTTCCGACCCATAGCGACCCTATATAGAGTTTCCGCGGAGCAGCCGTGAGCTTGAACCGCCGACCTTGCAGTTCAGATGGCTTTGTAGTCCGGCGCCTTAGCCCACAGAGCCATTAAATCGGTCACATTAAAATAGATTAACTGGGCATTAAGCACAAAGGGTCTAAGAGCAGGTACCAAGGCTTAACTTAGACCGGCATTTGATACAGTGGTCCAATGCGGAGTCTTTATCACACAACTTGGTTTTGAAACCACCACACCACCACCACCAGCACTGTGACTATGGCAAATGATTTAACCTCTCGGTGCCTTAGTTTCTAATCTGTAAAATGAGGAAATAGTGAAGCCACTGCCTGTGAGGCTGTCAGGATAAAACCCAAAATGCACTGCGGCAATGCCTGGCATGTAGCGAACCCTCAACCAACGTTTCCTACTGTGTGTTTGGCACCAGATCAACACCACCTTGAGAATGGTCAACTATCAGTGGCTGTCTGCCTCTCTCGTGGAACCAGTGTCCTGTACACTATAACTGTTAGTCATGCCTGGCCTCTGCCCACTAAATGCCATCAATGAGTTTCCTCATCATTGCGACAACCCCAAATGCCCAATTATGTATCCTAGCATCTCTGGGGGGATAGCAGCAGAAGGCTGGAAGAGTGGGTAACATCTTAGCAGAGAGGAACTTTCCAAACGCAGACATCTGAACATGAGAGACACGGGAGAAATGAATGTGTTAACTCATTACACAAACATCAAGCACCTACTGTGTGCAATGGATTGCTGATAGGGATAAACCTAAAGAGCTAACTTGGTGAACTAGAACTAACTAGAGATTCACAATGGGGGAAGTAAACGAGAAAAACAAAAACCCAAACCCACAAAAAAATCCCAGTTTGCAAAGTGAGTAGACATTTAGAATGACTATGCATACTAAAACAAGATGTACCAAACATTCAACACTACACAGTAAAAAAATTCAAACAACAGTGCTCTGAAGCCTATCATACCTAAGAAAAGTCATTAGGGAATCACTTCATTTTAAAGTAAGAGGCCTTTCAGAGTGCTGTAACCGGTTTTGGTTTTTATGTAAGGAGGATGTGGATAAGCTGGAAATAAGAGGAAATGATTTAAAATGATAGAAAACAGACCTCTGGGGTGTTAGTAGAGGGTGGAGGAGGTAATTCACAGACCTGGAAAATAATGAGGCCCAGGAATTGTTACAAACCATCTATTACCACAAGGACAATGCCTAGGACGTAGTTCTAGGCTAACACATCACAGCAACAGAAACACAGCTTGATTAAGCATAGGTAAAATTTCAGTCCAAGAACACTGAACCCAACAGCAGGCTACCAGGAGAGATTGTAGAATTTTCTATTTGAAAATGTTGAGGGATCCTGTTACAATCCATCTGTCCTGAATGATCAGAGTCCAAACCCATCTCGAATAGAGCCCCACTGGAAGCTGCTAGATAGAAGGCACAGGAATTTGTAAAATGGAGTATCTTTTCTACAGAAGCACAAGAGGTGATTTTGTAAATAACTACATATCTGTTCTTAGACTGCACTGCTTGTCAACTTGAGAATTCTCCTCTTAAGTTTGCAGAACTTTCCACAAACGTGTGAACATAAGAAATCACCATCCAACTATGCAAACATTCTCTAAAAAGAACAAATGTAGAAAACAGCTTCCAACACTCATTCTAGTTCAAACCCTGCTGAGAACACATCTTTCCACCCTAGAGGCACTGAGTTAGAAT